GTATGGCGAGTGTAGAGAACCGTAGACCCGTTTTTACTGGATAGTCCTCACGGCTGACGACGCATTTGCATTTTGATTAGCAAATGAGGATAGATGTAGATGTCTATGGGCCACAGTAATCACTTACCATCAGGTCGATTGTGTTATCGCTTGTCACTCTTATCCTATAAACAAAAAAAGAAGAACCGAATACCGATAGGAAAAGATTTTCGATCAAGCCTCGTATCAGTAGGTAAGCGAAGTTTTGTGGTGGCCCCCTAATAGTCAAATATAAGTCAATGGATGCAGGCAGCTCAAGACCGTGCTTTGTGGCATTCGTTAGCGGAGTCTTAGGCTCAGCAGTGCACTTTTTTATATAAGATGGGGGCAAACGAGCATGCGGCTCACCTAATGGTAAGTGACCACCGCCACCTTTAAAAAAAAAGAGCAGGCTCTTATCTTGAGTCGTATTGGTTCGGAAAAATCGCTGATGGTCGTCATATCCACAATGAAGTTGTGTGAGGAAGAAAACTTCTTGTAAATCGTACAGTCATGGACCGACAATAATCCAGATGGTATGCATGGTATCGCGAATTTTTACGCGATTTGCGATGGTGATATTGAGCTGGAATCAGTCCAAACAATTCTTTTGAGCACTCCCCGTGCTAGATACGATAGAATACGCTAAGAGATGTAAAAACTCTTCGCAGCGCCAGTGAATCAAGCCTATAAGAAAGGACTCAGTCGCCGACCATTCGAACCCCTCTGTGCTAGATGCGATCGAGTGGAAGCAGCTGGCATTGCGGTGCCCCGGCTCAGAGATGAGAACAGTATTCCATAGCAGGCCGAACTTGAGTGTTGTAAACTTGAAATACTATCCCACTCTAATTCTATCTAATTTCGCCTTCCCTTCCATGTGAGCGCGGAACTGAACGTCATTCGATATATCGACACCGAGAATTTCAATGCAAGCTGAAGCAACGAGGGTAGTGCCTTGAAATTCAGGACATACGATCAATGGGCTATTTTTTGCGGTTAACTAGTAATGGGTGTTAACGTCATCGTCAACACCCATTACTAGTTAACCGCTATTTATTTTTTTAAATATAAAACTATCATCATCATATGATGATAGATTTAAAAAATAAAAATAAGAAACAAAAAATCAAAAACCGCAAAAACACTATCCAGGGCAGTTTAGCAAAAATATAAACTTCTTTAAGCTACAGAAGAAAAGTTATTTTCAAATAGCCACACGCAATCATTTTTTCTATTCAATGTACTAAAAGAAAACTAATTTTTTTATGTTAACCTCGTAGGTGGCAAACTAGCAACTAACAAATACGCTGTGCTCGAATCACGTAGAAATTCAGCGTTATGAAGTTATTGAATTATATATTATACATAAGTATTTGTGTATATTCGGGCGGTATCATAACGTGCTCTTTTTTATATTGCTCGCTGAATATATTTATTATTGATACGACCATATAATGACCTTAAATGGAATTGCATTAAGTGTTTAAATGTATTCCTATATAGTCATCTAGATTATATGTCTATGTCCTGGATATGATGGATATTATTACAGACCTGCTACCATTTTACTTGAATAAAAATAAGGAAATAATTAAAATCTGGAATGAAGAACATCCATTTACATTAAAAAAATATTTTGATGAAAATTACGCTACAAAAAATTTGGAAAGGATGCATAAAACATGGCAATATAAGAGATTTTGGTGACGAATAGTAATATAAATTATTTTTGTGACCGTAAATTGAAATTTTAAGGATGATGTCGGATAAGTTATAGGGCATGCCTAAAGACAGCATAGTTGCCTTTGGTGTGCGCTTACAGTTAGGGATGCCGAAGGATCCCTCGCCGTGCCGTCCTGCCAGGGGACGGCAGGGCTAAAAGAGGTGTACAACACATTAGATATCTTTATTTTGAGAATCTCTGGACAAGTTACGTACTCAAAAATATAGAGATTTTAAGCCTTAAATTAACATTAGTTATTCTTTGTTAGACAAATCCATCGCAAGAATAAGCACTGATGGAACATCATAATTCAAGTATTATTACTAATGGTCTAATTAAAAAAATCATCTTAAAACATTAAACAAAAACATTAACGTCTTTTGCAAATATGATACACTTGAAAAATGATCTGTTACATAAGTACGATGACAAGATTGCTCGCCATCAAATATGTTTAATAGCTATTTAGTCAAAATGGTGCAGTTATACATTTTACTGCAATCGAGGTCAATTTATAACCTATTGGCAATAAATTGTATTAACTTCCTTTTCCAATGTCTGTTGATTACTCTCCTAATAGCCGTAAACTACATTATTATTCGTTTAACATATCTCATTCCATCTATTAACATATCTCGGTAATAACATAGGTAAGTAAGTAGTTGAGAGGCATAACACGTGTCGATTTGTTTCGGCATCCGACAAAAATGTTACTTACGTTATGTTAGCCGTCGTGAGATTTCCTTGGAATTGGCGATACAAAATATAAGCACCACGAAATTATACCTACGAGTATGTGCATATTTTTATAAACAAAGCCAGTGATATTTTCAGGTATAAAATAAGTTTTCTTTTCACATTTGTGAAATTCTGACAGCAGTCTGCATCCCATGTTACCAACATGTCCAAAAGTTTGAATTTTCCTTTAGCTGAGACTCAGTTAAATGTACTTCTGAACAAACTAATTAAACACTAAAACGAGGTAAATTTAACATAAATAAATTTATTTGCATGTCTGTTCAAGATGAGAGATACCAATGAGGGTTAGGTGTTGTCATTTTAAACATCATCTATTTAAATATATCAGTCATGATATCAGTGTTTCGTTATATTAAAAGTTGTAAATGTAAACTTAAACTATATGAAAAATTAATTTGATAAAAAATTAAAATATAACCTTGTAAATGTAATGTAAAAACAGTATCGAAATTGTAGTCTGAAAATAAAATATTTACTGCTAGTTTCATTGTCTTCTACTCTTTTCTTTTCATCCAAAACTTAGTATACAAACGGAAACAGAATCGAAAGTAATCGATAATTCATCTCCGGTCATATTTCATTACATTTTATACTTCAGAAGATAGTAGAAGTTTCCAAGCAAATTTTCTAACATTGGTTCCGGCTTTGGTTTCCAGTAAAAAGGGTCTCCGGTTCTCTACACTCACCAAACGAAGCACAGCAGCATTAAGCCAATATTTCACGCTGGTATTCTGTGAGTGTTTGTGATGTTGTAACGTTGTGTGAAGTGACAATACAATACAAATTAAAACAGAAAGAACAAACTTGTAAGCCATTATTTTATTAGCAGCAGAACCCTAAAAGCACTGTTACTGAGTCATCATTACCTTTAATTAAATTTTAAAATAACAAAAGTATCTAACAGTATATCAGAACTTTACAAGTGTTAATTAAGCGTTTAGTACCCTGAATTGTTGTCTAACATAAACTCAGCTACAAACTGATTTAAAACTCTCTTGTCCCGTAAAAGCTGCTTATATACTTGCTTATATTAATGGTTTTGTTTTTTCCTTTGGTAAGGTAGTATTTACTTCGTATTTAGTAGGTAAAATGAGAAATAAAATCTTTTCGATTGTAAATTTAGACCCTTGGATTAAGAAGGAAACGTAACCTTAACGGGTAACTGTTACAGGATTACAATGATAAATTGGTTACGAAAGTATTTACGCCAATATTGACATAATAAATAACAATAGTAAAAATTATTTGTACCATAGCAAATAATTTTTAACATGTCATAAAATATATCTCGGTATAAAAACATACACTTGTAGTTGAGACTCCTACTATATTATGTTATTAAGCAATAAATTGAAACAGATTTTTTTTAAATTCCTTGAATGCCTCAAAAGAAATACCCTTTAAGTCTAATCCTTGTTAAAGAAGGATAGATAGAGTTTCTTCTGGAGTCAAGTTAATAAAGATCGATTTGTTATTGCTTTGGTTAGTTTAGTCGTACAAATACAAATAGAACAAAGAGGCAAAGCTTCTTACGCGTCACATTTGTGATGAGCTGCAATGATGATGATGATGATGGTGGTGATGACGATGATGATGAAAGATAAAGTAATGGTCTTACGCCTCAGTGCACATGCCATAGAGTATATGTACGGGTGCTCTTTAAAGGATATATTAAATTAAAATATATATTTTATTGTGATATTAGCCAAAAGGTTTACGAAATCGTGAGACTACGATTTCGTAATTTAAAAAAAATTAGCCATTGATTACTTTCGTGAAAAGTTTAGTTATAATAGTTAACTTACCGAGAATATCATTACAATAAAATATCTATATTTCTTTTATAATAATTTTTTATTTTATTTTGGTTTAATTTCACCGTTGAGCGCGTATAATAATGCAATAAAATTGAATTTAACAATATTATCACTGGAGATCACGCTATATTTATCACACTGTGGTAGGATTTTTTTTTTAGGAGTCTGTCTTGTTAGGTACCACCCTCTTAACTATTTCTGCCGCCAAGCAACATACTACGTCCCGATCCGAAGGATATAGAGAACCAGTAAAATTACAGGCGGTGAGGTATTCGATCTTAGTCATCAGAGGTAACAATGCACCTGTAGCTTTCTTTGGTTAAAGTTGGGTGGGCTGTAAGGCACATTTTGTGTTCAGTTTTATAAAAAATATTAATACGTATGCCAGTCCCGGGCCTTAATTAATTATATTAATATTTTCACACATAAAATAAAAAGGTGATAATTGATTTCCAGAAAATAGTAAACTCAAGAAATTCTTTCACATTTTATTATACCAAAATTACTACGTTCTTTAATCTTAAATAATAATCGAGAAAATTAACGTTTTGCAGAGGGAAAGCTACAAAATTAACATAAATAATTGTGATAATTATTCCAGTACAATTCGTAAGAAGGAAATTTAAAAATGCTAATAAATTAGAGTATATCTTTGCGGTTTCTATTAAAAAATATTTATATACCTAGATAGGTGCTATTTGTTAAAACCCAGAAGATTTTCAAAGGATCCACCATAGCGGGTGCAAAAAGCACCAACGGCGCTTCACCGCATGGTGCACTTCAACTGTTAACGATGATTAGTGTTTGTAACACACACACATGCAACTTAACACACACATAATATGTGAAAATGTACATACGAAACTAAATCACAAAGTCACTTAAAGTATTCATTATCAATATGAGTGATCGTGCGAAAATTGTCACCGTAGAGGAATGTGTGCGAGGGAAAGGATATGGAAGGCGCGCAAGGCGGGCGGTCGGCTAGAAGCCCGATGCAAACTGCCGCCTCGCCGAATCTGCCCCTCAAAACCCCGCCTAGCCGCCACATTGGCAAAAGGACAGAATTTTCAAATACAAAAACACTTTTTAATAAATTTATTTTTCAGAACGTTATATAACGATGTTTTAGATTAAAATTTCATTCACTAAATTATATAATGAACTCTATTTTGTATTCAGTGTAATATAATATATCATAATGCTTTTAAAAAATAATGTTTTTATGTCCCCTGTGACACATAAATATTACATTTGGAATATTGAAGTAATAATATGTATTGCTAATAGTACTTATATTTATACATATTTCAATTATCTCTAACGACAATTCTTGTGTTTTATCATTAATTGGTAAGATCGTTAGGCCGTATACAGAAAGAAGGCTGGTAGGCGGCGCCGATCTACCAGCGCTTATCGGCGCTGGTCTATTCTGGTAACAGTTACATAAAGCAAGCCGATTGAAGCAGAGCGAGCAAAATGTCGTACTCGTCGGACGATGAATTAGTTTTGTTAGAAAATGTGTATTTCAAAATGCCAAAATAAGCTATACATCCTATTAATAGAGAAAGGAATCGTTTCGAAGAATACCATAATTAATTTGTAAAACAATTGAAATTTGATGATTTGATGAATTTAGAATGTTTTAACGTGGTTTAAATATACACTTGTACAGTCAAAAGCAGATCAAGATCCTTTGAGATTTGTACCGACATTATTATTTTGTAACTAGCTATTTCCCGCGACTTTGCCCGCGTGTAATTTAGGGTTTTAATTTTTTTGCGAGAAACCCTAATTATTTTTCTAAAATAAAAGTAGTTACTCCTTATGACATCAGACGTTGTAATTTTTATATTACAAACAGACACTTCAATTTTATTATATATATATATATATATATATATATATATATATATATATATATATATAAAAGCGATTTTAAAAAATCAACACGTCTTCATTTCTGAAATTAAAAAAACATCCTAATTTCATTTCAATAGAGAAGATGGCTGGGTGCTGCCATCTGCTTGGGATCCTATAATTAATAAAATTAAATCCAAACCCAAGCATACCATTTCTGAAGCAGAAGTTCATTCTGCGTAAATCGGACCAAAAATTTAAAACTGAAGGTAGCCCGGCTAACTATTACATCGGGACGTCAAACACTTGAGTTCCCCTGTGACCATGGGTGCTGTAAAGCACCCGAAACGTTGGGAAATAAAAAGTTAAAATAAACGCGATAAAATCCGTAAAAATTTGTTTCATTTAATTTAAAGTACGGGTACATAAAACCTTCGTTATTGTTTTATTACAGTGATTACTTATTATATTCAATTTTTTAACCAATGAGAATAAATTCAATTTAAGTAAGAACAATGTTTATACTGATACATTACTTTAAAACAAAATTCTTACTTTACTTCCTTATCAGAACTATCTTCATGATTCGAGGAGTATGACGATCGAACTCATAATTCTCTGGTAGTTTTTTTTCTTAAATAGGCGTAATAAGTTGTTTTATTTTCAATGTCAACATTTAATTTCTCGTAAAGTCAAAATTACGGGGTTATTTTGCAATATTTTTGCATAGAAGGTTCAGAATAAGCAATATAAACAAATGGTGAAAAAAAAAAAAACAAATCTGAATTTTATATTTTAAATTTTGAATGTGTAGTAATGCATTATTTTAACTGACTCTCATTCATAAATGTTAGATATTTATGAATGATTATTTTACTACTAACGCACACATTCGTAAGGATCGCTCGGTTACAAATTCAGCTCATCGCGACAACGCGTAGTTGTTACCCATAAATTAGGATAATTTCAAATAAAACTGGAAGCTTTATTTACTCGTATTTTTAAAAACTGCAATAACGGTATATCGTTATTTATATATTTGAACTTAAATATGAAATTTGGATACTCTGAAAAATAACCCTGTACCCATATGATGAAAAAATTATCTCAGAAATAAATGTCAAGTCCTGTGTCATCACCGTTTCTATTCAATCAGTAGACCTTGACTTCTGCCTTTTGTCAAGCGAAATAATAAATATCTAGGAAAAATCTAAATGTCGTATATTATCTATTAAAAACATATTAATAATAATTATTATAGTGACATAAATATGAATAATTATTTATATTAATATTTTAAATAATTTTTATTTCAACCGACCTTTGTAGTTTTATCTTGAGGTAAAAGTTTACGTGCACTCATTTTTTATGTCACCTTTTATCGCAAATTATCATTTCATTCAATTATTTTGAAAGTAATATTACGTGCTACATTTATAATAAAGAATCTCAACCTCAGTAAATTTTACAATATCTATTTGCACATATCGTAGGCAATTACAAATATTACGCTTTTTATCTCAATATTTATATTTATACTCCTTTTTCTTTTCCTCCGTCTTTTGTTAAAAATAATAATCCCCACTGTAACATTTCCATGTGTGTCTGGCAAGCATTTCACAATAATAACACAACAATAGCAACTCTTTACATAGCATTAAGATATTAATTTAAATTTTTCGCTGTGTAGTATATATCTTATGTCATTCATTTTTAGAATGGCACTTTTTTCTTCAAAAGCTCGATAGTGTAGTGTCTATGTGTTAGAGTGTGTGTAAAATACCACTTTTTTATAGAATAAGAGTGGTAAACAAGCAAACAGTCCACCTGCACTAGATCTATCCTTGATTAAGAATCAAAATGCAGATGCGTTGTCACCCCTGAGGACTACGATGGAATGCCTCATTTTCAGTTAAAAGGGTTTCCGGTTCTTAACATTTACCGTACGAAACGTAACATTGAGCAGCCATTTTACGCTGACCGACCGAACCTATCTAGGTGTAAGGAAAATCCCTAGCTGTAGCTTTACCACAGGTTTATAATTTTTTTTCTAAGCTCGATTTCAGGGCTGTATCTTATTTTTTTTTTGTTTTTTTTTATATAAACAGAAGTGATTACTTTATACCCTTTAATTTGCCTAACTCGATTATTTACCCAATATATAATTACCCAAGATGAAGTGATGAATGAAGTAATCTGGAAGTGTTCGTCGCTAGTCTCTGCAGTCAAGCTTACCTCCGATATGAGTAGGTTACGACAGTTTAAGCCGTGTTGTAGTCTCTGCGGATTCAACCAACTTCCGATAGTACTCATCGCCAGAAAATCTTCGCCGGTCGTCTTAGAAAATAGATGGGAAACTTCATTGAAATAAGATAGGATTTTATAAAAGACTAACGACGCATCGCGGTTTCGCATGGTTTGGTATTAACGTGGCGTAGTGATTGTGTTAAGAGTTTTCGGGAAAAATATAGCCTAGATCACTCCTGGCATTGCTCTTTATGACTTCGTAAAGTTTTATTACAATCGGTTCAGCCATTACGTGACAGACAGAAAGACAAGAATATTAAAAATGGTTATTCATGTCAAAAGTTATTTCGATATTACAGACAGACACTTCAATTTTACTTATATGTAAATATATATGTAGTATGTATGTATAGATGTATAGACTAAACAAAATTTCTTGTTACTTATTAATTTTGCTAAATGATAAAAAAAATTACGATTTAAATTTCGAAATGTAAATATTAATTCATTATCAATGTCACAAGCCTTTTGAGATGAAAATTAAATTTTGCGGTCGCCAGTATTTTTTATCTACTATTTTACACTTTTATGACAGAATTATTTAGTAGACTAAAATAGTACTATTCATATATAGAATATAAAATAGACTATCACAACATTATTTTTTTATGAATGTTTAAAATATATTCTATAGTTCTAATGACCATTATAACTATTTAAGGGATTTTTGTAGACACGATTTAATTCCGCCAACTTAAAAGTTATATCACTAACGATAGTCGTTATATATGTGTATATATAGAATTCCTATTACTACACATAAAATCTACTTGCCCCCAAGTAGTGTGCGGTTATCGTTAACGATATAGTCGCACCGTGTTCAATTATCTTCACATTTTCACTTCATTGTACCGTTACATAGAAATTAGCTTTAGAATGTCATATTTAATCACAAAAAAACTCGACAAGGACATTTCTTTGCCCGTCTGCATATAAAACGATTAATTAACAAGATCAACAATATTTCGTAACCGTATAGAATACAAACGAGCTCCGGGTGTTTAAAAACAAGATGGAACTATAACAAGATAGATCAGAAGTCGTTTGTAATTTTTAATTGTTCCGCGAATGATTTTCCGGAAGACTTGGATTTATTAAACGTTATGGTAAAATCCGTAAAACTAGTTTTATTTAAATTATTACACATTTTTTACAATTACAAGGAAATATTTATTGTAGTTGGTGATGAGTAAAGCTGAATTCTAAAAATAGTGCCACCAAATGTACTGCATAAATAAATACGTTACTAGTGTTATCATTCTTTCAACTCCGTTAATTTTTTTAATAAATAAGGAATAAAAGCGAGCATACAGTCTACCTGATTAGTAAGTGGATGCTGTGGCAAATGTACATCTACATCTATAATCAATTAAGAATCAACCTCTGATGCGTTATTATGTTTCTAGTAAAAGTGTCCGGTTCTCTACACTCATTAATCACCTAATTTTGCTGTGTTTAATATGAATTAGAATTAGACTGCTATTTTACACTGGTATTCTATGAAAGCGTGGTCCTTCCTCGTTCGAGCCGACCCATTCGCGCTACAACCGAAATATAGCTGTGGAGTG